GCGGAATCGTTTGGTGGTCACGAATATCATCATAAAAACGTTTGGTGGTCAACCGTTTTCTCAGAAAATAAAGAAAATCGTATGCGCATAATGCTGGACATATCACCACTGTGCCATTAGCCGGAAAAATTGTATTTATCACCCAAATTGACTTTGATAGGGCTCAATCGACGCGGAATCGTTTGGTGGTTACGAATATCGTCATTAAAACGTTTGGTGGTCAATGGTTTTCCTAAGAAATAGAAAAAACCGTACTCTCACGCCATTGGTCGTATGACTCCGTGACGTTAGCTCGGTAATTTGATGGATAAACATTATTTATCAATTAAATTGACTTTCATACAACTCATTCGACGCGGAATCGTTTGGTGGTCACGAATATCGTCATTAAAACGTTTGGTGGTCAATCGTTTTCCTAAGAAATAGATAAAACCGTACTCTCACGCCATTGGTCGTATGACTCCGGTGACGTTAGCTCGGTAATTTGATGGATAAACATTATTTATCAATCAAATTGACTTTCATACGGCTCAATCGACGCGGAATCGTTGGGTGGTCACGAATATAATCAGTAAAACGTTTGGTGAAACGTTAGGAAAACGATTGACCACCAAACGTTTTAATGACGATATTCGTGACCACCAAACAATTCCGCGTCGAATGAGTTGTATGAAAGTCAATTTGGGTGATAAATACAATTTTTCCGGCTAATGGCACAGTGGTGATATGTCCAGCATTATGCGCATACGATTTTTTTTATTTTCTGGGAAAACGGTTGACCACCAAACGTTTTTATGATGATATTCGTGACCACCAAACGATTCAGCGTCGAATGAGCTATAAAAAAGTTAAATTGGTTGAAAAATAAAAATTGTCCGGCTAACTTCACACCGGAAATTTCATTTTTATTTTACAGGAAAACGACTAACCACCAAACGATCGGACTAGACCACCAAAAACCACCAAACGACCACCAATCGATTCCAATTAATGAAAGTTCGATACGTTGAAGTTGTCCAGCCAACTTCATAGAGGTTATCCCTACTCTCAATTATGTCAAAGATCTTTATTTGAGAAAGTATTACTGAAGAGATTAGGCAATATCATTGAGGAAAGGCAATTGCTCCACCGAACTACCAATTTGGATTTAGAACTAAGTATTCTACAATAGATTAGGTCCATCGTATCCCAGCAAACAAAAAAAGATTGAAAAGAATTAAAACGGGATTGCCAGGAATTCAATTAAGGACTTTTCGAATTCCATTCTGTCCAAAAAAGGGATTGAAATAGTTTCAATATTATGGAATTTCTTCCCACACAGCAAAACTTGTTTCAGAAAGCTTTCCGAAAGATAACTTGGAAATTAATATTGAAATGTATAATTGAAATCACTCAGAAATATTTCTGAAACGTTTTATAAAAATAATATATCATTGAAAGCTTTCCAAAAGATAACTTGGAAATTAATATTGAAATGTAACATTAAAATCATTCAGAAGTATTTCTGAAACGTTTCATCGAAATTATTTATGACCCTTTTCACTGAAATATTTCTGAAATATTACGAAATATTTCAGACCCTTTTGACTATAATTAGTCAGTGCCAGACTAGAGTCAAGCTCAACAGGGTCTTCTTTCCCCGCTAATTTTTCCAAGCCCGTTCCCTTGGCAGTGGTTTCGCTAGATAGTAGATAGGGACAGTGGGAATCTCGTTAATCCATTCATGCGCGTCACTAATTAGATGACGAGGCATTTGGCTACTGTTAAGAGAGTCATAGTTACGACCGCACCGGGGGGTCTGGGGGGGCGGTTAGCCCCCCCAGAATCCTCCCGTGGTCGGAGTGCAATCAATGTCAGCAGTACTTCCCTTTGCGCTAGAATCGGAGCCGACACCGGGGATTTCCCCCTTACAGAGCCCATACCTGACGATTACGTACTCCCGGACAAGCCGACCCTTCAAACGTAGGGGTACGGTTTCCCGTAACGCACATATGACTCACTATTGTACCTGTGGTGTTCCCCAGGTAGCAGGGTTAAATCCTGCAGCGAGCATGACCTACTCGGATTAGATCAGCTCCACTGACAGGACCGGGGTGCCAAGGCACCCCACTAACAGGTAATGCGCAACATGAGCTTCATAGCGCTAACCCACACTAGGCCCTCTATGCCGCTCACTCGGCTATGCGAAACCTCTGCCCCTACGAGTCCGACACCATCTGGTAGGGCACCGGTAGCCTCCCGGTGGGGCTCCCTACCCCCGTAGTACTCATGTCGAGCGATCTTAGCTCACGTTTGACGAGTTGCCGCCGCTGGTGCCATGCCACCAGCTACCACGTAATCGCACGAGTCACCCCGTACTGTTAACGCGTCGCTCATCGGTTGCCCGGGGATCCGGGATTCGGCAGCAGTCGACGCGCCTTAGGAATATACGGCACGTGGTGCGCCATATACCCCGCTCGTTTTGGGCACCACCCACGCACGAGCACGCCGCGCTCGCCTCGCGAAACGCTACCCTGTTCAGTACTACCGGCTGCATCCGTTACCCAGCTACCTGGGATTGGGCAGCAGCCCAGCAGTTTTATGGGTAAAGGGCACAGGGTGCACCGTTTACCCGCGCTTGCTTGAATTTCTTCACGTTGACATTCAGAGCACTGGGCAGAAATCACATTGCGTCAACACCCAAATATTACGAAATATTTCAGAGAAATATTTCGTACGTAATGTCTAAAATACATATCATTGAAAGCTTTTCGAAAGATAACTTGGAAAATAATATTAAAATGTAACATTGAAATTATTCAGAAGTAAAAACGGAGAAGTAAAAACTTGAATCGTCAGTGAATAATTAACAATTAGCAAAAGAATTATGTTCGACCCAACTGGCAAATTTTATTGTTCACAAAACGCTACGTTTCGACCGCAGATTTCGGTCCTTTTCAAGCGTATAGAAACACTAATATTAATTATTAGTCAGACATAATGTCCAAACTACGCCAAATCTAAAAACTAAACATCAAAAATTGTGGCACGCAACAATATAAGTATAAGTCCATAATTATATAAATCAAAACTTACATATTTGTGCGTTAAATTCACAGAAGTAAAATACAATTTAAACCGCATTTTCGTTATTCATTTATGTCGAAGGGCATGTAAGAGCCGTGCGGTGGTAACATTGTAACTGCAAGACAAGTAATAAACAAACTAATGATGTCAATATTAAAAGCCAGAGCGTGGAGAGGGAAACAGAGAAGAAGGAGATAGAATTACGTTTCTTTTATAATATGTTCGTAGAGAGCGTTAAGATTCTTCGTGTCCTTTTGTAAATTAATGGTGTCATCAAAGTTTTTAATAAAAAATATCTCCGCTAATTCCCTCTTTCTAATCTGTCTCTTCTTATGTATTATTTCTGGCTTCCCCCAATCGAAATCATGCCCATAGGATGTTCGATGCTCACTCACTACAGAATGCTTGCTCGCCGGTTTTCTGATATCGTTCTGGTGTTCTTTGAGACGTGTGCACAAATGTCTTTTTGTCTGCCCAATAAACGTAGCATTGCAATCTTTACATCTCTACGAACATAATTGGGCCGAACATAATTTTTTTGCTAATTATTCAAAAGTATTTCTGAAATGTTTCATGTTTCATCAAAATCATATATCATTGAAAGCTTTCCAAAAGATAACTTGGAAATTAATATTGAAATGTAACATTGAAATCATTCAGAAGTATTTCTGAAACGTTTCATCGAAATCCTTTATGACTCTTTTCACTAAAATATTACAAAACATTTCAGAGAAATATGCAACGACGCCGCTAGGCGGCGCATAATGGTAAGACTAACTCGCAAGTAAATTTCAGTTGGGTGGGAAGGGGGGATACCTTCAGTTGGGACTAATATAAGCAGGCCTCCGGCGAAGCAAAATCATGACTATGATCAAGAATATGTTTTACGAAAGACAGGAAATTGTTCCGGATGACCCTATACAGGGTGATCCGAAACAATTTGATATGAGAAAAAGTATCTGAAATATTTCCCATATATTTTTGAAACATTTCAGAGATATTTTCGAAGCATTTCAGAGATATTTCTGAAGCATTTCAGAGATATTTCTTAGGCATTTCAGAGGTATTTCTTAAGCATTTCAGAGATATTTCTTAAGCATTTCAGAAATATTTCTGAAGCATTTCAGAATTATTTCAGAAATATTTCTGAGATTTCAGAAACATTTCTGAAATCTCAGCTTGGCGGACATTTTAGCTTTCTGAAACATATCTGAAACATGTCTAAAATGTTTTTTTGAAAGGTTTGATATTTCATTGACAGTTTTTTGAAAGCTTTCTGAAATATTTCGGTGCTGTGTGGGATACTTTCATAATTTCTTCTATTTTTTATTACTTCTGCGGCGTAAATACCGGAATTACCCTATCTTTTGTATATTCAATCTGTGTAGTATTTTAGCTTTATCCGTATATAGAGATGATACACGAATTTCTATATACCTTTGAATATACTTTTTCTCTAGGCATACCTAATTCCGTAAGATACCTGCGTGATTCCTTATTTGCTGAGAATATTATGTAAATATTATCCTAATAGCTAAATCTATCGGAAACAAATTGCTAAATGTCTACTACAAATTTTATCGCCAGCAAAAATATAACAGAATTTGTTAGCAAAATATAATTAATTGTAAAAACCGAGCAAAATTTGCCATTTTATAAATTTAAATGATACGTACATTTCATTATCTGCATTTTCCGGCTCATATTGACCTGTGTGGTCTTGAAAACTCTTACTCTTAAAATTAATTATCATCTTAAATAAGGATTATATTATTTATCAGTTTGCCCAAATATGTCATATAAAACATTAATCAAGACACCTATATTACACAACAATATTATTATTATTATTATTATAGAGAGCAACATTAGTTATTTTATTAACAAAAAATCCATAACAAAACAATATTGAGATCGTTTTCTCGGTAACCTGTCAGTCGGAATAAATAATTAGAAATTTTGTAAAAAAAATACATTTTAGATGACTTGTAGATTTCTTTTGCGTTGTTCTTTGTGTTCTTTGAATAATGATACTTCTAATATTGTACTGCAAATTATAGATAAAAAATTAAATATTACAGGTAAGTATATGTAAAGGCTATATGAGGAGTAGGACCAGTATACGGTCCGGAGGGAGAATGTTTTTGACATATTTAGTAGATTCAATAATTACCATGATAGAATTAAATTCACTATTGAATACGAGGAAAATAGAAGCATTAGTTTTTTAGACGTGAAATTGATTGTAAGAGATTGTAAGGGATTGTAAGGGTGACATGATTGTCACTGATTGGTTCACAAAAAAACGTTTTCGGGAAGATTTTTGTCGTTTTATTCTAATCATCCCATACAACACAAACTCAGGACTATATATAGTTTGGTAGATAGAGCAATCAAGTTATCCCATCCGAATTTTTACGAAAAGATTTTAGTGTTTATTATTAACAATTTGATTGAGAACGGCTACCCTATGGATTTAATATTTACCCATATCAATCGGAGATTGAAAAAACTTATCAACCAATCTTTGAACGGTAGCACGGAAGAAACAGAAACACAACAAAAAAAGAATTTCATTGTTCTTCCATATATCAAATCAATCTCGGAATTAATTGCCTCGAAAATAGATAAATCATGCATATTATCCATGGGGTACCGTATCTTGAACAAACTTAGTAGTATCATCAGGGTCCAAAAAGACAAGAACTCGTTGTTTATGAACAATAATGTAATATACAAGATTGATTGCAAAAACTGCGATGCATCGTACATCAGACGAAAAGAAAGCTTCAGACTAGAATTAGAGAACATAAGTATAACATCAGACTGAATGAATCCAAGCATTCGGTGATAACAGATCATATTTTAAATTATAATCACATCTTTGACTGGGATAATACATGTATCTTAGATTATGAACCGAATTATTAAAAACGAATGATCTCTGAAATGATACATATCAAAGAGCAAACAAACGGGATTAACTCTAACAAAGAAACCGAATTATTGGACGAAGTTTATTTTGATGTTTTAAACGAACTTTCCACGGTCAGGTAATTGCAAACATTCTTTGTCCTCGTGTCAAGTTCATTCCTCTCTCAGTTCACGATGATTCTTCGCGCAGATCAGACGTGTTATACCGATGCCATAATTATTGCCTGTCATAGTTCCCGTCATCTCTGAACATTTATGTAAGTCTCTGTTTTAATTTTAATTTATTTTATTGAGTCGATATTATATCATCTTATCTAAATACATTTATTCAGTTGCCACTAAGTTGGCCCAGAAATGTATGGTACCTTTTGAAATTGTGGACTTGCATGGGTCTCCACGGGACGATGATACTTAATAAAAACAGAAATTTAACTGGAGCATGATTGACTTGCGAAAAAAGCGTTCTATAATGTTTCAAGTTTTTTGACTTTGTGATTGCGGTACTTCTCCATGTTTGATTGATTGCGATTTGACCCCGATATATGTTAGTTTATTAATTATTTGCTTAATTGACAATTCTGATGAAGTCCGAGTATGGTACAAAACGTCAATTTAATAAATCTTGATACAAGTTAAAATTTTTGTAACATCGATTAATGCTCGTATACTGGTCCTACCCCTCATATAGCCTTTGATTCAAACGAGCGGAAAATAATATTTTTATTGTTAAGTATATGTAAATTTTAAAAATATACCTGTTTGGACGCATTCTTCTGTCATACAAACGTTTGGATCTGAAAATAAAAAGCGGTAGAGATGTACTAAAATTTAAAAATATGAGAATTGTATTCTCATGTTCTTATCGTTTGATCCTTTTATACTCGAAAATTTTTGAATTACTATTTCTTTAGATACCCGGCCAAAAGTTTGAGACCACATATATAATTTAAAAATATTTCAATAAAACGCTACTTAAAAGTCTGATTCATATTTTACTCAATTTTTTTAAATTTAAAAGTAAATATGGTATTATATTTAGCGTAGTTGTGTAGTTAACATAGCATTGTTTAATTTAAAAAAAAATGGCTTATGACTAAAGTCTTTCTTCCAAAATTGAGCTCTGGAATATTTTAGAAGATGGGTGAAAGAATCGATCTTTCGCTAGAAAAAAATAAATAAATTTATATCTAGGTTACCTAATTTGGTAAAAAAAGTGATTAAATATAGGAGTGAATACTTTGACAAAAAAGTGTCTACTCTTTAGTGTCTAATACTTTTTTCATCTTGTAAAAAATATTTTTTTATAAAACTTAAACATTTTATACCATTTTTCATAAACAAAATAATAAAAATATATTAAATTATAATGCATAAGCTTTATTTTATTTTATACAGACATTTTCCACTAATAGTTTCAAACTTTTGGTTGACAGTACAAATTGAGTTTTTTTATTTTAAGATTTATTAAAACATCATCGATATTTCGATATTGTAAAAAAAGTGATGCTATAAAATACTGATATTGTAATCACTAATTCCTATATATATGAACAGAATCCAAGTTGTATATAAGAGGTAAATATAAAGGGTGAAACTTACGAGGCTCTCGAACGCATTCGCGAGTGGTGTTTAATGCCAGTAATAGAAGTATAAACAGGCAAGTAGCCAGCAGAGTGATGGCTAATACACCGAGTAAACGTTGCCTACTCACTGTTCCTCTTCGTCTTCGTGTGATTGAGGTAACACGTGTCACACCGATCGGCCTCTGTGGCTTAATCGGATGCTGAAGAACGGATGTGGTAGTTCCACCCCGTGACCCATAAGTTACCTAAACGTAATCAGTTGGATAAAATAGCGGAAACGGATCGTTTGCATTTTCATTTCTTCAAATAAAAGAGAAAAGAAAAAAGAAAAGAAGAAAAGTGACCAAAAGATATACCTCTATAACTTTGATTTTAAGAGTAATTCTATTAATATATCCGTATATGACCGTATCATTTGGTTGATCATTTAAAGCATTTCTTTATTTTTGATAATATAAATTAATAAACACAGCAAGAATTTTTTATTTAAAAGAAAGCACAAATTTCATGTAAAAATTTAATGTAAAAAGATTAGTGAAAGTTAGAAATATCAATAATTCAATGTTTAATTGTTTATATTTTTTTTTAATAAAAGAGACATTTTTATTAATATCATATGTTGAGCTGAAATTGTCAAACAAAATTAAGAATTCCATAATACGTAATAAGTTTCTCTTTGAATAATCTTTATCAGTAAAGAAAATTGCTTATTTGTAAAAAGCAGAAACATTCAAAAGTATACATATTTCTTATAATATTAGTTTAGAAAAATAAATGCTTATTTTTTCTAGTTTAAAATATCTATACATAATTATTTATAAATAATTAGGTTCAAAATATCAATAACTTGAAACGTTCTTGAACATGATAAATAAACACTTTCTTTAGACTATATCGATCGCTTTTGGATTGTATTGCATGTACTTCGAATTTTTTTTGTGCACCTCTTCTATTGTTATAAATAAAGTGTAGAAAAGGGAAAAACAGAGAAAAAAATGAAAGAGTAAGGGAGGAAGAGGGAAGAAACAATGGAACGGAAAGAGTGAGGAAGAGCGGTAGAATGATATGAGGGGGATGAAGGAAAGGATAGAGAAGGAGAGAAAGAGAGAGGGGAGGAGGGAAAGGGTTATGAAGAGGAACATCATTATAAGCTATATTCTCTAAATGCATAATAAAAAGTCAAGTGATATAAAAACTAGTGATAGGATAAGAAAATGTTACTTTTTACTTTTGTACTACAGCTTTTTTAGCGATTAAGAAATATTCTGCTTAAGGATGTTTTCCTACTCGGCATGTTATGTTGCTGAAATATTGAAATATTCGGAAATAGTACAGAAATATTTCGTTAACATTTCATTTGTAACTACGCATCTGAAATATTTCAGAAATGTACCTGCATCATGTTTTTTATAATATTGCATTAACAATATTTCTGAAATCTTTCAGAAAGTTGTTTACAATATTTGTAAGTGTCTGTAATATTGCAAAAAAATGTAGCAGATGCAATATTTCAGAAATATTTCTGAAACATTATAAAAGTAATATTACGTTTGCATTGCACAAATAATATTTCTGTAACATATCAAACGCAACATTGCATTTAAAATGTTTCTGAAAAATTTCTAAAGGATTGCGTAGGTAATGAAAAATTGAATTGCAGGCAGTGAATTTCTACAATATTGCAGAAGAAATATTGCAGATGTAATGGTTTAGAAACATTTCTGATACATGATAAAACTATTATTTACATTTAAATTGCACGCGTTATATTTTTGAATGTTTCACATACAACATTGCATTTGTAATATTTCCGAAAAGTTGCTGACAGACTTTAGAACTTATAAAAAATTAAATTTATTATTATATAATTATTACATTTTATTGCATTTCTTCTCTTTTATAATATTAAGAATTTTTTGATATTCCAAATTTTGTCATATGGCATTTTTAATATAAAATATAAAATACTTAATAATATTTAATATAAATTAATATTCGACGTTGACTGGCAAAAAAGATTTATTCGTATATCTGTATTGTTAATATTGTTATGCGATAGCTTTATGGTCACCAAAATAAGCAAGTATAAGAAAGAAAGAAGCGTCAGAGTCAGAGGATCACCACTACCCTGTTCGATCATCGATGTCATGCAACAAGGTGCCGGTATACCACTTGGATGGGTGACCGGCTGAGAGAGCGGATTTCTTTGGACAAATGCGCGGCGGCTATACGCACATGGCTTAATATATTTTTTTTGTTCTGGTAACAAAATATTTTATTTTTCACATATCAACCAATAGTTTTTACGTCAGTAACAAAATTTTGTTTGCTAATACAAAACATTTTTCTCAGTGTAAAATGTATTTGAAATATCTCTGAAGTGTTTCTGCAATATTTCGTAGATATATTTTAGAAATATTTCAGTAATAGTACCAAAATATTGCCAAAATCTTTCAGCAAAGTTGCATTTGAAATAATTGTGCCGATTGAAACATTGCAGAAATATTGCAGAAACGGTTGTGAAATATTTCTGAAATATTGATGAAAGGTATAATATTTCAAATGGAATTTTGCAGAAATGTTTCTGAAATATTACATGCCGAGTGGGTTACCTATAACTATATGTAGTATTTTTGTTTTCTTGATTGAAGACTTTGCATGTATGTCAAACAAGTCAAAATTTTTTATATGTTAGAAGGGATTACCGTTAACAGTTTGAGTATGATTTTTGTTATTTAAATAATTAGTATTGTTTAAACAATTAAAAAAATTATTTTGTGGCAAAAAATTTTGGAACTTAAAATACAATATCAATGATGTATGTTTTACACATAAAAAAAGTTTAAGAAATATCTTAATGGTTTATTTATATTTTATTTATATTTACAGCAAAGTGTCGATTCTCTATAAGGGATAATGTTAATTTTATCAACTTTAAACTTAAATAACTCTTAAATAACTTCAAAATTTTACAGAGTATTTTTAATTTAATTTAGAAACAATTTACAGCACTTTCTGAATATATTTGAAATACCTCCAATACATCCTTAATTACAATAACTTTTAAACCAGTAAGAGAATTGTGCTGAAATTTTACACAGATACTTAGACGTAATAATAGAACAATCTATGAAATTTTTAGATTTTTGGTGATGCTTTGAGATGTCACACATACATCCTTAATATATTACCACGATAATGTGGCATTATATATTATATAATCATTAAAAGTATATCTTTATTCGCCATTTTAATGGAATATTCTCTAATAATGTTATACGTATAATATAATTATTTATACATCTCTCTCTTTTTTTTCTTTCTCTCTCTGTGTATCACAAAAAATCGGTCTTTAAAGGTAGAATAACATGGTAGAAATAGAGATGGTTAAGACCGTAATATTAAGGAATATTGGCAGTCCTTAAGAAACATGTAAAATTCAAACATTTTTCAGAAAGCTTAATTATCGAAATAGTCTACATACTTGAAGAGAATTCGGAGTAGATATACTATCTTGACTAGTCGATTCCGGCAAATCAGCCGATTGTTCGATAACGACGGTCGAAGCTAGGTAGCCATTATTCCTCTCGGACTTCATTGTTGCTTTGCTGAGTTCCTCGCGAGACACCTTGAAACAAGCGATAGGTAGCACTCGCTCATTGGAGGGGCAATTAACGATTCACGACGCGGCTTTCTGCGAGAATTGGAGAAGACGGGAAGAAAATTCCAGGCTTGTCCGACCACACAAGACACGTAAAATAAAATTCATCCGTATATTTTTTCCGATTAAGACGAAGACGGTGCGGATGTGCCACAATTCTTCGAGAACGCCTGAGATTCGTGACGCATTTGCGTTTTTACAAGACTGTTGTCGCCGGTCGATTGTCAGTCTTTGGAACGATGAAAAGATTTTCAACCAATTGTTGACCAAAGCTACATTAAGACAAATTTTTCACTTCTCGGAAAAAATCGATATTTATATACGCAGTAAAATGTATGATTAGTAAAATCTGTATTTGACCAAAAAATACAATAAAAGTCACATGAAAAAAAGCAAAGAACATATTTTGACATAAACTGGTTTATATAAAGATTGTTTTCTCTTATTGCGCTCATTTGTTAAATCTTTTTAAAATTCTAAGACAAATCATACATAAACTTTATGCTGATATTTAATGATATAAATAGAGTAGATGATAATATTATGAAACTTGAGTATAATAATATAAAATATCTCATATTCTAATATCTATTTTGCATTGCAATTGTATTTTTTCTGAATTATAACATTATTAAATGATAGGTCAACCGTTCTATTAAGAAAACGTTCAATAAAGCTAATAAAAAAATTTCTATGGCTAATACACTGGATCGCCTTAATTTATTTCAGCAATTTTCAAATTTCTATTGAGCAATGTGTACGTTGTTATATATTTCATAAATCTAATTTATTCATAATACTTGTTCATAAAACATGCTAGACTTAGAATGTACAAATCTTAACAATGAAGTTTTTTACGATTTTCATAACAATGGTAATCTTAAACATGGTTTTATGTATATAATATGGAGCTTCTAATTTTACAGTACTAGATTAATTAATTGGAAAGTTGAGGCTCTGTTGGACATCCACACGTAAAGGAAAACGGGCTAATTAAGAGCCAATCGTTGTTGACCGTGCGAAAAACATTTATTCTTCTTTAGAAAGGCTCATTCTTCTTTATTGATGAACACTAACTTCAGACCGAAGATGTTAGATGCTGAAGATGGTCCGAATAGAGACCGAAACGTACGTTAATATTCAATAAAGAAGAATGAGCGTTTCTAAAGAAAAATAAACGTTTTTCGCACGGTCAACAGCGATTGGCTCTTAATTAGCCTATTTTCCTTTACGTGTACATTAATTAAATAAGCAAGTTTCAAAGTTTTAGTATACTACAAGCAATGTATCTTATGTAAGTTTTTAAATATATAGATATCTTTAGCATCATAAATTAAAGAAATTTTAAGTAAAATAATAAAAATATAAATAAATAGTAAAACACTTTTTGGTTAAAAAAATGTTGCTCGAAAATTCTTATTTATATAATTATTTAATACTAATAAGCATTTTTTTTAAAGCAGGTATTTAATTTCAAATATTGACAGACGTAACATAAAATAGGATAGACAAAAATTTTCAATTTATATAGAATTTCTTCTTAATAAATTAAAAATAACAGAGTACATAGGAAAAGAATACAAAACATATAATATAGTAAAAAGAACTTTATCTCTTTCTTTCTCTCTAATTTGACACTAAGAAAAAATGTTTTGCATTTTAGTAAGTATTAGTTGCATACAACTGTGACTCCATTTACTAAAATAAAGAAAATTTTCTTTTTTATTAGTATATTTTTTCTCAGTGAATACACATATACTAATAAAAAAGAAAATTTTATTTATTTTAGTAAATGGAGTCACAGTTGTATGCAAACTAATGTTTACTAAAATGCAGAAAATTTTTTTTCAGTCTGATAATTCTCTTATATAAATATTAAAATAAATATATGTTAAATTAAAAAAAAAACAAAAATTTTATTGACTAATTATATGTTAAAAATTTGATACATTTAATTAGTTTATGTGTTGTAAACTTTAATCACTTATAGCTTGAAAGTTATTTTAATTATAACACTGAAAAAAAAACATAACCAAGATTTTTTCTTTTCTTTCATACATTATTGAATTAACGTATATAGCCATAACTTCTATCACTCATTGTCAATTAAAATATTATATATAATATTAATAAGAATATGTATAAATATACTTTACAGTGATACCAAATAAAATAAAACTCAGATGAAAATTATTTATAATAAATTAATTTTGTAATAATTTTTTTATAAATCAGTTGAATGCTTCACAGGATTTGGATTCTGGACGATAAGAATCATTAACTGGTGTTTACATTTATCATTAATTGATTAGTTAGCAATCAACGTTTATCGAAAATCATCCACACCGAGATGACAATTTTAACGTAATTTATTCCGTGACAAACAAGGAACAAACAGATGATGATCGAAACAAAACGCAACCGAGCGATGTCAAGACGCGTGAAAAAACTCGCGGTAGGGCGAGTTTACATTCGTCGCTCGTGTATAGAAGCAACAAGCGTCCTGCGAAAAACTGTCGAGGGTGTCGATCGAAGCCGCCACTACCGCCACTACTCTACTACCATTGGTGGCGACACGATTACGATAAGGGGCAGAAGAGAGGGTGCGTGTGAGAGGGGTAGCGTCATGCAAAGGTGTGGGGATGCTATGAGGTCAAGTCAGGGAAAAAAAAGAACCGGTCGATGCTGCAATGCAGCGGTGATCTCACTCGTGCTACGACGCGTAGCGGCGACGGCGCGAAGCTGTTTAGATTTTACTCTATCAAGGCGATAGACATAATTGACAATGTAACGCGCGACAGAATTTATTCAATACAAATCTACAAAAATTTTCAGATCTACAACCAACTTGTCGAGAATAAATCCAGATAACTCTAAATTGATATGGATAAATTTTACGAAGTGTTTGCTAACAAATTTTGTTGGCAAAATATCACCAGAAATATAACAAAATTTGGTAACATAATATGTCGAATTGACTATATAAAAACTGAATAGAGTAATGTGTCATTTTGTAACCATGCATATTACATAAAACACTGAAAATGACCCAAAGAAAGGGTTGAAACGTACAAATCCTATTTGTGAAATGTAATAAATTATATTGCGCACAAACTACTACGCCTGGCTCTTATTGCCAAAAGTATTAACCCTTAAGTACACTGGCGGGATCTGGCTGGATTCCAAGCTCTTTTTATTACGTATTTTCTTAGTTATCCCTGCCGAAAAAGCTCGATTAAAACCATTAGAAAATCCCTATTTGGTCTAATAAGATTGTATTTTTAAACCTGCATTTTCCATTAAGACATAATTACTACTCTCAAATCGATTATACTTTGTTGAACTGGAACTTATGCCGATAACCGATAGTATAAATAAAGTCTCTATGGTTTTGAATCAGATTCGATAGAAATATTCACATTCCGTCCTATATGTTTTAATATGTCTATATTGGTTCCGATTACGCTCAATCGTAAAATAGTAATCAAAATCTTAACAGTTTTTATTGTTTTTATTAACGTTTTTGACGTTGTTGAACCGGAATTTAAGATGTATAATTGGAAATTATCACTGTAGAACAAATATATAATTCTAACAGTTTGCATCGGATTTAATGCAAATATATCCTTTCAATATATCCTATCGTTTTCATTGCCCGGGAAAAAAAACCTCTTATTTGTTTATATTAGTTTATATTAGTAGCTATATGATTATACATGATCATATAAAAAATAGAAAATATAATCTTAAACAATA